GGACTGGATAATTTTATATATTATGAAATGATCCCCACCATAAATCTAGCTATCCTCTGTCCCCATTCAAAGTTATTACAGAATTACTGACTATATTCTCTATCTGTACATTACATCCCCATGACATCTTTATTTTCTAAGTGGAGGTTCCTACCTCTTAATCCCCTTGACCTGTTTTGCCCATTCCCCCAATGCCTGCCCCCTCTGGTAACCAACCATTTGTTTTCTGGATCTGTGAGTCTGTTTTTGTTTCTTCTTTTGTTTTTTTGTTTAGATATAAGTGAGATTGTATGGTATTGGTCTTTCTCTGTCTGACTTATTTCACCTAGTGTAGTACTGTTGATGTTGATCCATGTAAGATTTCATGGTGAGATGGTAAGATTTTATTCTTTTTATGGCTGTGTAGTATTCCATTGTGTATATACACCACATCTTCTTTATCCATTCATCTGTCGATGGACAATTGGGCTGCTTCCATTGCTTCCCTTTTCTCCACATCCTCACCAACACTTGTTAATTTTTTGTCTTGTTGATAATAGCCAGTCTGACAGGGGTGAGGTGATAGCTTCTTATAGTTTTGATTTGTATTTCCCTGATGATGAGTGAGTGATGTTGAGTAGCTTTTCACGTGTCTGGTGGCCATTTGTATGTCTTCTTTTGAAGAATGTCTATTAACGTCCTCTGCCCATTTTTTTAAGTAGGCTCCATAATCAGCATGGGACTCAAACTCATGACCCTGAGATGAAGAGTTGCATGCTCCACCGACTGAGCCAGCCAAGTGCCCTCTTTGCCCATGTTTTTTTAATGTTTTAAATGTTTATTTCTTTTTTGAGAGAGAGACAGAGTGACAGAGCATGAGCAGGGGAGGTACAGAGAGAGAGACACAGAACCTGAAGCAGGCCAGGCTCTGAGCTGTCAGCACAGAGCCTGATGCAGGGCTCAAACTTACAATGAGATCATGACCTGAGCCGAAGTCGGATGTTTAACTGACTGAGCCACCAAGGCGCCCCCCTCTCCTGCCCATTTTTAATCAGGTTGTTTATTTTTAAGTTGTGTAAGTCCTTTATATATTTTGGTTATTAACCCTTTATCAGATGTATGATTTGTAGATATCTTCTCCCATTGCCTGGGTGGCCTTTTGTTGATGGTTTCCTTTGCTGTGGAAAAGCTTTCCAGTTTGATATAATCCTATTTGTTTATTTTAACTTTTATTGCCCTTGCCTAAGGAGACTGGTCCAAAATACATTTTGCTAAGAATGATGTTAAAAAGCTTACTGTCCCTGGTTTCTTCGAAGAGTCTGTTGTTTTCTGGTCTTACATTCAAGTCTTTAATCCATTTTGAATTTATTTTTGTGTATGATGTAAGACAGTGATCCAGTTTCATTTTTTTGCATGTAGCTGCCTACAGTTTTCCCAAAGACCATTTATTGTATATTCTTGCCTCCCTTGTCATAAATTAATTGACTGTGTGTGTGAGGTTTTTTTCTGGGCTCTTGATTCATTCCATTGATCTGTGTGTCTGTTTTTATTTATTTATTTTTTGTATTTTTTAATCTATATTTTTAAATTTAATCTTTTTAATGTTCATTTTTGAGAGAGAGAATGTGAGCAGGGGAGGGGCAGGGAGAGAGGGAGATACAGAATCTGAAGCAGGCTCCAGGCTCTGAGCTGTCAGCACAGAGCCCAACGTGGGGCTCGAACTCATGAACTGCGATATCACACCTGAACTGAAGTGGGAAGCTAAACCGACTGAGCCACCCAGGCACCCCTATGTGTCTGTTTTTGTGCCAGTACCATACTGTTTTGATTACTGTTCATTTGTAGTATAGTTTGAAATTAAGGACTGTGATCCTCCAACTTTGTTCTTCTTTTTCAAGATTGCTTTGGCTGTTCGGGATCTTTTGTGGTTTTATACAAATTTTAGGATTCTTTGTTCTAGTTCTCTGAAAAATGCCATTGGTATTTTGTTTGGGATTGCATTGAATCTATGGATTGCTTTGGGTAGTATGAGCATTTTAACAATATTCTTCCAGTCCATGAGCACAGAATATCTTTCCATTTATTTGTGTAGAAAGTAGTACATTTCTGAATTTCTAAGCATATGAAAATTTTCTCTTGTGGTATTTTCTTATTGATATCTAAATTTAGTGTTTTGTGGTCAGAGAATATATTGTGTTTTCAATCCTTGGAAGTTGGTTGAGACTTGTGTGTTTGACTTTTCTGAATGTTTGTGTGCTTTAAATGAATGTGGATTCTGAAGTTCTTAGATACAGTTTTCTCCATGTCTTTTATGTCTAGTTGGTCCCTCACATCATGCACATCTTCTGTGTCTGTATTCATTTGTGTTTGCTCTGCCAGTCACTGAAAAGAATAAAATAGTATATTTATACTATATATGCTGTATATTAAGTGTACTATACATATGTAATAAGTATACCATGTTTATGCTTTATATACTATAATCAGTAATCCTACTGTGATTAAAGATTTATCTGTTTCTCCTTACGGTTCTATAAATGTTTGATTTATATATTTTGAGGCTATGTTATTAAGTAGTCAGATTTACACTTTTTTTTAATTTTTATTTTTTTAATTTACTTCCAAGTTAGTTGGCATATAGTGCAACAATGATTTCAGGTTTTACTGCTTTATTTTTTTTTTAAGTAATCTCTACACCCAACACAGGGCTGGATCCCACAACCCTAAGATCAAGAGTTGCATGCTCTACAGACTGAGTCAGCCAGGTGCCCTGTCCTTTTGCTGTTTTAGCTACTTTATTGTGAATCACATGCATATAATAAATACACAAAACAGGGGCACATGAGTGGCTTAAGGACCTGACTTCGCTCAGGTCATTATCTCACAGTTCATGGGTTCGAGCCCCGTGTCAGGCTTTGTGCTGGCAGTTCAGAGCCTTGAGCCTGCTTTGGATTCTGTGTCTTCCTTTCTCTGCCCCTCACCCACTCATGCTCTGTCTCTCTGTCTCCCTCTCTCTCTCTAAACATTAAAAAAAATTTTTTTTAATACATAAAACAAATATATTGTTAGCAAATAATTATAAACTGTATGTCTGTGTTGCCATCACCCAGGTTCTAGCTTCATCTTTCAACCATTCTGTGTCCTTATTTTAAGATATGTCTCTTGTAGGGGCGCCAGGGTGGCTCAGTCAGTTAAGTGTCTGACTTCAGCTCGGGTCATGATCTCACAGTTTGTGAGTTCGAGCCCCACGTCAGGCTCTGTGCTGACAGCTCTGAGCCTGGAGCCTGCTTCGGATTCTGAGTCTCTCTCTGTGTCTCTTTCTCTGCCCCTCCCCCACTTGCACTCTCTTTCAAAATAAATAACTTAAAAAAATATATGTCTCTTGTAAATTGCATCTTAGATGAATTTTGTCTTCTATCCAGTCTGAAACCTTAAACTACCATTTAGCTTGATTTGGGGCTTGATCCTACAACTGAGATTATGACTTAAGCTGAAATCAAGAGTTGGATGCTCAGCCGACTGAGCCACCCAGGCGCACCTACCGTCCTATCTTTTTAAAGCTGTACAAAACAACACTGCTGTTCTTTTACTCACCTATTTACCATCTTCTTTATTCACCATTCCTTTTTTTAGACTCTGACGTTTAGGTAGTATTGTTTTTCTTCTGTCTGAAGCACACACATCCTTGTACTTCCTTTAGTGGTATTTTGCTGAAGTCAACCTTTATAGTTTTCTGAAAATGTCATTCTGGAATTCTTGAAAGATATTTTCACTGGATATAGAACTCTGGAATAGCCAGATATTATCTTTCAGGACCTTAAAGTTACCTTTCCTGACTACCCTCTGGATTCTGTTATTTTACTTGGGAAGTTGTTCTGTTGAAAGGTAGTTTTCCCTCTCCTTCTGGATACTTCTAAGACCTTTATTTCCTTTTCTTGGTGTTCTACAGGTGCTCTGCCCCATTTTTCTCCCACTTTACCTTCTATAAATCTAAATATTTTTCTGAGCTTTTACTGTCCTTTTCAAGAAATCAAGCCACATCAATATTGTAAGCGTTTTCCCCTATATTTTCTTCTAGGAGTTTTATAGTTTCCATTCATACATTTAGGTCTTTGATCCATCCTGAGTTAATTTTTTTCACTGTTGTTTTGAGAAGCAGCAAGTAGGGGAGATGTGTGTGTGGGGGGGTGGTGACAGAGGATTTGAAGTGGGCCCCATGCTGACAGCAGGGAGCCCAATGCAGGCCTTAAACTCGAGAACCATAAGATCATGACCCAAACCAAAGACACTTAACCGACTATGCCACCCAGGCATCCATTTTTTGAGTCAGTTTTTGTATGCGGTGTTAAATAAGGGTCTAACTTCATTCTTTTGCATGTGAGTATCTAGTTTTCCCAGAACCACTTGCTGAAAAAACTGCCCTTTCCCTAATGAATCATAGCACCCTTGTTTAAAATCATTTGACCCTACACAAGGGTTTATTTCTGGACTCATGTAATTTTTTTTTTTAATTTTTATTCATTTTGAGACAGAGCATGAGCAGAGGAAGGGCAGAGAGAGGGAGATATAGAATCTAAAGCAGGCTCCAGGCTCTGAGCTGTTAGCATAGAGCCTGACATGGGACTTGAACCCACAAACCATGAGATCATGACCTAAGCCGAAGTCAGAAGCTTAACTGACCGAGCCACCTAGGTGCCCCGAGGTATTAGTATTCTTTATGTATAATATTAAAGAATTAGATCTTCCAGTTCTGGCCCCCCCACCCTATTCCTCAAAACACATACCTCCTGAACGTGCCTCCTTGACGTATTTTGTTCCCTCCATAACCCACTACTTTGTCTTGATTCATTGACAGGTTGTGACATTTTTCTCTCGTCCCAGCTGTGTGGACAGTGCCACACGCCCTCCGAACAACAACGGCTCTTGCATGCATATTTCAGTGTCTCTTTTGTCAGAGAGCCCAGCAGAGCCGCGGTTCTTCCGGTGCCAGCCCTGAGCTGAGCGAGGAGTGCCCTGCCGAGATGGTGAAGATGACAAAATCCAAAACTTTCCAAGCTTATCTGCCAAACTGTCACCGAACGTACAGCTGTGTCCACTGCAGAGCCCACCTGGCCAATCATGATGAGCTGATCTCTAAGGCAAGTTGTTTGTGCCCAGAAAATGATGAGATCCCCCTGAGGATGATCAGATGTCTAATTCATAGACAAACATTTAACCATCGTGTGACTTTGTGGGTCTGTTGTGTCCTGGAAGTGTAGAGACTCCTGGGCGGCATTGATGAAAGTTTCATGCATGGTGGAGTGTGACTGCACTGTGATGTTGGTGTGCTTAGTGTGTTGGTCGTGGTGTTTGTGCAGTGGGTGGGTTTTGGAGGGACAGAAAATCACAAAAAGCAAGAGGAGTAGGTTAGTTTGTCAGAGCAGTAAAGTTAATGTAAAACCAAAACACATCAAAGGAACAAAGGAAGTCTAGCAAATCTGTGGGAAGAGTTTAATAATAAGGGAATTAAGAAATTTTAAAAACTCAGAATGCTTAAGGAGAAAACAGCCTATCATAGAGGAATGGGGGAAAGAGGATTTTTTTTTTTATGTTTTATTTATTTTGAGAGCGAGAATGCCAAGCAGGTTCTGTGATGTAAGTGCAGATCATGCTGTAAGTGCTATCGTGCTATAAGCACAGATTACGCAAAACTGTGAGATCATGACCTAAGCCGAAATCAAGAGTTGGACGTTTAACCAACTGAGCCAACCGGGCGCCCCGAAGAGAGGATCTTTTAGAAAAATCGTCAGGACGGACACTCTGAACAGGGCCACAGCAGCTGCCCTGGGCACTCTGTGTAGGACCGGGAGCAGCCTGGTAGATGAGAAAAGAACAGCCCAATTCCTTATTATTAAGTTGGACCCTTTTTTAGCAGCATCTGAGGTCTATAATCAACCACTTGTGAACACGTAAAACGATTCAAATGTAGTAGGTGGGAAGTTGTGACCGTTCTCTCCTGCCCATCCTTGCGGGTCACCACCACATCCCCCCATCCTCACAGGTTTGCCTTCTTGGGCTACGTGAACCTCATGCTCCTTCAAAAACAAAGTCAGGAAGTTGGGCCTTTCAGGAATCCCTGCTTAAGCTTCACACTTTAGTCAGTAGGAAGATCGCTTGCCTACTTGTGTTTTAGCTAGGTGATAATGAATGGTTGTCTCATTTCTGTTTATCATCTAAAATAAACACCGTGAAACGAGGCAGAGAGTTCCTGTGCTCTTGCTGCTGTGGCTCCTTTGTCCATTCAGAAGATTCAAGTCAGAAATGCGAGGGCCTCGGTTCCTGGTTTCTTGGGTGCCTTCCAAGGCAGGCTCCGTGTGTGTCACAGTGTCTGAGTTTGTGGAAGGCAGAGCCACTCTGTGACCGTCAGATGGGGCTGTGTGGCTTGGTGACCTCCCTGAGCCATGCCATCTCAGAAGGCATAGGTGTTTGTTGGCATCATCACGGTGTTGGTTCTGAAGCATGCTGGAGGCTCCATCATGGGGTGGGCCAAAAGGAATTTGGGATGCTTCTTTCAACAAGCCCGAAAGACTGTTTTTTAAATTACATTGAAAGTAGAGACCTGCTAGGTGGAAACAGCCGTGACCTTAACTGAGTATCTCAGGATGAAAGTCATGCTGAGAACCTAAATGCACCAAGCACACAGTCTGCATCAGACCTTGCATTTCAGCTGGTGATACAGGAAACTGCTGCTTTTCCTTCCATACATTGTTAGTCCGTAAGTTACCATGTAGAGCAGAATCCAGTTCATATGAGGACAGAATTATTGTCTTGACAGGTGTTCACGAGCCTCTGGGGCCATCTTTGTCACTAGTAAGCAATGCCTTGGTCCAGGGGAGCTATTCCTGGTACAGGCAGGTCTAGTTGTTAGAAGGCTCTGATTTTATCTGTGGCCCACATCTGGCACACCACCTGTTTTCTGTGAAGTATTATTGGATCACAGCCATGTTCGTCTATTTATGTATCATGCCAGAGTAGTTGCAACAGAGGCTGCGTGGCCCCCAAAGCCTAAAATATTTATCAGCTGGCCTCGTTTACGGAAGTTTGTAGGCCCGCACTCTAGTCTGACTTCTATCTAAACCCGAACCTCAGATCTGACCATATCACTGATCCAAACCCTGTTTAAACAAGTAAGGATTTGCAGAGTAGGTGCGAGAATTAGGAAAATTGGTCTACCGAATTGAAGGCTGATAAGGATGTGCAGGAAAGCCTATGAGATGATTATTTGTTAAATTGGCCATGATGTAATATTCCTTATTCTAGAAAACCACTTGAAAACTCTTCTTAATCTGAAAGCTGTATATTTCTTTCTTTTTTTTTTTTTTTTAAGTTTATTTATTTTGGGAGAGAGAACACACATGTGAGCAAGTAGGGGAGGGACAGAGAAAGGGAGAGAGAGAATCCCAAATAGGCTTCGTGCTATCAACGCACAGCACCACCCCCTCTCCCCGTCCCCCATGCAGAGCTCAAACTCACAAACTGTGAGATCATGACCTGTGTCAAAACCAAGAGTCAGTTGCCCAACGGACTCAGCCACCCAGGCACCCCTAAAAGCTATGTAACTCAGTCAAAACACTGGTAGCCTCAAGCTAGGTTATACCACAGTAACAAAAAGCCCCCAAGTCACAGTGGCTTACCACACAGGTCTTGCTCCGGTGAAATGTCTGTCCAGGGTCTGGGAGCACTGTGACTCCCGGGTCCTGTGTGGGGTCCAGAGCCCCAGAGGCCTGTGGTAGCCGTTCCTCAGCTTGGCCCTCCACTCACGTTGAGGCCATGACCTGAAAAAGTATCTCCACCTTTATTCCAAAATGCAAAACTCACCATCCCTTTTCATCTTACCACAACAGCTATGTGACAGCTTTTTCTTCTTTGCAGTCTTTTCAGGGAAGTCAGGGACGAGCCTACCTCTTCAATTCTGTGTGAGTACCACTGCCGTTGGCCTGTGGACCTGCTGTGTTCATGGTCACATTACATTTATTGCTTCTGTACATCCGTGCAAACAATTACTCAAAGGCTAGAATGACCAGAGGGTTTTTTAAAAATTATTTTTATTTTCATTAAAAAAATTTTTTTAATGTTAATTTTGAAAGAGAGTGCAAGTGAGGGAGGGGTGGAAAGAGAGGGAAACACAGAATCTGAGGCAGGCTCCAGGCTCTGAGCTGTCAGCACAGAGCCTAACGCAGGGCTTGAACTCACGAACTGGGAGATCATGACCTGAGCCGAAGTCGGATGCTTAACCAACTGAGCCACCCAGGCTCCCCTTTTTATTTTTTTTTATTTTGAGAGCGAGAGGGTGCGTAAGAGCCAGGGAGAGGGAGAGAAGAGAGAATCTTAAGCAGGCCCTACACTCGGCACGGAGCCTGTCATGGGGCTTGATCCCACAACCTTGGGATCATGACCTGAGCCAAAACCGAAAGTTGGACGCTTAACCAACTGAGCCACTCAAGCACCCCAGGTCAAGTGTTTTTAAGTGATCTTAAAGAATTGTACCCTCCAGTCAGAGTTTCAGGGAAGAGTGTGCTCTTACCTGAGGAACTAGCTCCCACATGTGGTGTGGTCTGTGCCCCATTTGTGGTGGGTTTGAATTTTACTGCGCTATGCACCACAGAACTGTCACCTCCCTAGGAACCTGGCCCATCTTGGAATTCTCCTGGGGAAATGAACAGTTGTTCCTTCTCATACAAGGTGGTGGTGGGCAGGGGGCGGGAAGGTGGGGCATTAAGAAGAAACACTGGTGCCTTTGGTAACCAGCTAGCTGGAGAAATAACCACCTGAGGCGGGAGCCAGGGGAAATGCTCTGGTCTCCAGCGATTTCCTGCCTCCTCCCCTGTAGGGTGAATGTGGGCTGTGGCCCCGCTGAGGAGAGGGTCCTTCTTACTGGCCTGCACGCGGTCGCAGACATCTACTGTGAAAACTGCAAAACCACGCTCGGGTGGAAATATGTAAGTAACTGTCTATTCCAACCTCTTGGACACTGCACAGATTACCAGATAAAACACATTACTAACAGACACAAAATTCGCGAAGGAGTAAGCCCTCCCCCTGGAAGTGTCAATCCATGTTTTAAAATAGAAATTCTGAGCCAACTAAAGATAGACGTAATCACATAGGCACACCTGCCCACACCTGCGCTCCCAGGGCAGGGGTGACAGCCATGCCTCACAGTCCCACCCTGCAGACCTAGGCCCCTGAGGGGCCCCTGGAATGAGGGGAGGGTCCCACCTGTCTGGGGGATGCTCGCCGACTGGCCAGGCCTGCGGTGGCTGCTGACATTACTTAGCAGTAGCGATGTCAAGCAGAACCGTCTGTGGTGCTCAGAAGTTTCCGCCGTGCCCACTGAGGCCTGGCCTCCCCCTGCCCATCAGAGGTTTGGCCTATGGGCAGCTTCTGCTCCCCCACACTCCCTGCTCCCGTTTTCCCCACCCCTCCTTTCAACTTCCAGATTTGTCCCTCTGGCCCGCACACCTGGTGCCCCGTGGCCATTGAGTGCACGTCCACCCTGGGCTCTGGCATCTGAGAGGCGTGTCTGGGTGTGGCTGGCACCTGCCTTCATGATGTGCTCTTCTGCAGCGATTCTGGTCATCTTGGTCAGGGCCAGCTGCTCTCCCTCTTTCTGTAATTCCCGATTGTTCCTATTCTCTGCATTCCCCAATCACACATGGAGATGGGCTTGGTGAGGCCTGCACACACCCCCAGCCCGTTCCTCTCCACTCTCACTGCCCCCCCAAGGGCCTTCTCTTCTTCCGACGTCTTGAATGACCTCCAGGGCACTTGGCATAGTTGCCTTCACTTGCCCCTTACCCGAAGTCCCTGCAAGGAGGCTCTGGCTCCTCGGCCTCCCAGATAGCAAATTTGAATTAGCCTTTCCCTGTGAGTTTATCGGCAACTTCACAACGAGTAGGAGTGGCCTGTCCTGGTCTAGGTGTGCTTGTCACCGAGACAGACCCTGCCCCCCCGCCCCAGCCCTGGTCAGTACTGCACACAGATCACCTGGGGAGATTTAATACCATCCACTTATTTTCTTTACCAAGCGTGCAGTGAAGCCAAAGTGAAATCGATTCTGCCCTGAGACCTTCTTTCTACTTTTTTTTTCTTTTTCAAGGAACATGCCTTTGAGAGCAGTCAGAAATATAAGGAAGGAAAATTTATTATTGAGCTTGCCCACATGATCAAAGACAATGGTTGGGAGTAAAGTGAAAACTTTGTTCTCTTCTGAATCCTATTTTGTGAAAGAAACTGTAAATGTAACGGAAACCTAGGAGCATCCTGGATGACAGTATTTCTTGAACTTTGAACTTTGTAGGCTGGCCTCTCCCAGCTGTTCTGGTGGTAAGGTGTCCCCTCAGCCTCTGTCCTGTTCATGTACATGGCTGTTTCCGAAATGTTTCAATGACCTTTTCTTCTCAAGTTCCAGAGAATTAACCAACTGATGACTTACCCGTCTAGTTAATACCTTCTTTTAACCTATGCCTTTACAATAGAGTTTGGTTGTGCTCTTTCACGTTTGATAGAAAACCAAACTGAATTTCTGTGGACTACAGGGTTAGGGTCTTTTTAGAGAATAAGTTCATTCCTCTCTTTTGGAATGAGGGTACTACTATAGCCCACTTTTTTCCCCTAATTCGTGAAACTACAAATGGACTGTTCCTCTTGCAGATGAACTGTTAAGGCATAGTGCTCATTTAAGAATCTTCCAGAAGCAGCCAATGAATCTATATGCCAAGGGACCTTTTTCTTTTTTAAGCTTTGCTCAAAAACAGAAGACACCACTGATTACATTTTAGATAAGCTATAAATAGAGAAATATGCCTAATGGAACATCTTGTTTATTTAAGCCAACAGCTTCCCTATCTAGAAAGCAAGCATTAGCAAAGACTATTCCAGGGGTCTGCAGGGGCACGCTATTTAGGCTGCAGTCCGGCAGGGCCCTGGCAGTGGGGCTTCTGCATCAGTTGCTGAGGGTGGGTGGTCCACAGAGTTAGAGTTTAACACACTGGACGGAGTAAAATCGGATTTCCTTTTCTACTCTGATGTACTTGAAGAAAAATAATTACTTTTGCATATGAAAGAGGCCAGAACGATCAGGATAAACTTCCAAACTTGAGATTTGGGAGATTGTTTTAACATTTTTTTCAGGAAAGGTTAAAGTTCTAAGACCTATTTAAACTTTGTAAATGAATATGGGTCTCCTGTGCCCCACTGGTTCTGTCCCTTGAACTGATACAGAAGGGATCTGGGCAGTCTTCTAAGTCCTGTGTCTCAACCATCCACCTGTGCCTCTGCAGGGAGAGGGCACTGTGCAGAATTTTGGCCAATGTTCAGAGCATGGAGGTCAAAAATCATTCCCAAATAAGTTCTGTTTTTCAGTGTTTGAGCCTGACTCCAGCTGCTAGGCCTGGCCAGCTGCTCCAGGGGTCTGGTGGGGCCTCCAGTGTAGCTGGAGACCCCTGAGCCCCCATTGCTGGGGGTGGGGGCAGGAAGAGAGGGCTCAGGGAGGCAGGGAGAGAGAAGGGCAGCATGCCCAGAGATTTCTCTGCCGGGCCCATGTCTGAAAGACAAGGTCAGCCCCGTGGCAAATGTGAGCTGGCTGGGAAGGCTGAGAACGGCTTCCAGTCCAGTGGGAGGTCCCTTTCCTCCTTCCAGCCCTCCTGAGCCCCAGAGCCCATGGCCCCCCCTGGGTGGTTTTGGCACAGCTGCTCACCTAGTTTCCCTTTTGGCACCATCTCTCGGGTTAAGCCTTGGAACATGGGGAAATGGCGCTGCCTTGCTGTGGGTGAGGGCACTGGAGTGCGAGCTAGTGTATACGCATGTCTCCAAGTATCGGAGGCAGATCTCTGTACAGCCGCGTAGGCCTCTGCGTGTACAGGTGCTCCAGCAGGCTGCTGCTTCCTGAGCTGGCGTGCCCCCCCCCCCCCCCCCCCCGATGTAGGTTGTCCCAGAGCAGCCCCGTGTTTGAGTTCATGTGCAGCTATACAGCCTTCAGGCTCCCAGGGCACAGTCCTGCACGCATGGCACACTCATTGCCACGGTCAGAAACCTGAAGACGCCGCACTTGAGCTGGCATGTGAAGCATGGTCACCTGCAGCTTTGGTCCTTAGTGGCAACTTTGAAAGGACAGAAAGACGCCTTCGTTGAGGAGTACTCCTCTTTGAAAACTTCACCTAAACGGACACCTCCCTTCTTGCCTTGGTGCCTCCATGAGCCTCAGTGCTGTGTCTGAGGCTCCAAGAGGATGAGGGAAATGGGGGTCCTGGGGGTGCTGAGGGCAGGGCTCCCGAGCACTTCTCCGCAAGATCTCCACGTAAACTGAAGAATCTTCTCAAGTTCTTCTGACCGATTTTTGTATATACTAAACTTATATTTAAAGCTTTTATATGTTCTGGGCAAGTTTACTGCTCCTTCGATTTGAGCACTTTGGTTTTTGTATTGTCTTTTGTGATGGCATTGAAACATTTTTACTAGTGGTCTTAGGAGGCCTTGTTTTATTTTGTTGGTAATTGATACCAACAAAAACCCTTACCACTTTTTTTGTTGGTCTTCTGAAAAACCCAAGCTCCTCTTGAAACCAAAAGAACAGACCGTGAGCTGACTTCAGGGAAGGACATTCACACACAAGACCACAACCAGATGTGCTGGTAAAGTGTTGGAATGTTCCACCCTTTTTTTTTTTTTAATTTTTTCTTTTTTCAACGTTTTTTTATTTATTTTTGGGACAGAGAGAGACAGAGCATGAACGGGGGAGGGGCAGAGAGAGGGAGACACAGAATCGGAAGCAGGCTCCAGGCTCCGAGCCATCAGCCCAGAGCCTGACGCGGGGCTCGAACTCACAGACCGCGAGATCGTGACCTGGCTGAAGTCGGACGCTTAACTGACTGCGCCACCCAGGCGCCCCTGTTCCACCCTTTTAAATTCCTAAACAGTAAATATCCTGTGACTTTTATTTAAATTATTTAAAATATTTTTTTCCTTGAAGTTTGGGAAGTGATGCCAGGATCATAAATGCATTTAAACTATGTGGTGTTCTCTGGCACAGCACATCTACTCTAAAAGTGTGGTTTAGTTTTGTTGCTGTTTTATATATACATATATATATAGTATTTTTATACCTTAACGCTTATTCTTGATGGCATCTGTCAGATATTACGCGAAATCAGAAATGGGAATCTTTTTTCAAAAGTCCTTTAATTTACCTGATGACTTCACCAGGTACTTAAAAAATCCAAGTGGTTTTAATACCTAGAAAACTAAGTTCCAAAATGACCTACAGAAATGTAAACCCTCATTTGTCAAAGGCTCTTGGGTGGATCTGCAGCCCAGAGTGGCCTGGCCATGCCTTGGGCCAGGTGCATGTGGTCACTGGGTGCAGCTGGAGGGACGGACCAATGGACAACAGCCCGAAGGTTTGCCCCTTGGAGCAGGACTGTCAAGCTCACGTGCACAAGCCTCCTTCAGCCTCTGCGTCCAGCCCTCTGTCCTCTGTGTCCGTGTGAGGTTCAAAAATAAAGCTTCCAATGTCAGATGTGTCCTTCCCAGTAGCACCTCCTGTTGTGGGCACTGGGGGCCCTGGATTCCCACAGTTCTCATTGTCCATGGCTTCTCCCATGTGGGGTCCTCCTGTTCCTTGAGGTGGAGAGGCAGGTAGTCCTGGGTGTGGGCCACAGGGGAATGTGGCTGTGACTACCCATGGTCCTTGCTGGGTGGGCCTCAGTGAGTCCAGGCATAAGGCAACAGAGCTTTCCCTGCTGCGGCTCCGGTCCCATGTGGGGCCATGCGGCTCACTGTCTCCTAGAGCTCTGTGTCACCGGGCTCCTACCAGTTGGGCTTGTGCACGTAGCCCGAGAACGCCTAACTTGAGCTCACCCCTCCTGAACGCTGAGGGGTTAGGAGCCCTCTGGGACTCCCTCTTCACCCCCACGTACCCGGAGTCCACAAGCGACTAGTCAGTGGCCTGCAAGTGCGTTTACATGGCTGTCACTGCATCCAGCCCTCTCCTCCTGGGTGAACCAGACTCTTGGGATACATTTCAGGCACAAACACTGGAGTGTAAGCCCTTCACTAATTGGGAGGGTAGTGGTGAGGAGGTCATGAAGAGGGATGAGGGCCAAAGGCAGAGGCTGAGAGGTCACTCCCTAGAGCCCAGGTCCCTGGTTCCAGCTATGGTCACAGGCAAGGGATTGCAGAGGCACAGGGTGCCTGTGGGGCTCAGCCTTGTTCTCAGCACAGAGGAAAGCTGGTGGCAGGCCTGAAGTAGGATGACCACAGGCTGATGAGCTTTAGGCGGGTGACACAGATATGACCTGTGTGGATATGCACAAGGGGCTTGAACAGATGCAGGTGAGAGATAAGGGGCTTAGACCTGGGGTTCAGCATCAGAGATGGAAAAAGAAGAGCCCCCCAGCATGTTCTGGAATTTGAAGTTTGGGTGAGGGGAAGAACCAAGGACAAGCTGGAAAGAGTGGTGGCCTGTGCTGACCTTTAGACCATAGGCCTTAGGAGTGGGTGTGAGGAGTGGACAGCCTTGGGGCCAAAGGAGACAGACAGTGGGAGGTGGCAGCTGTCCCCACCCTTCTGCAGAGGCACTTTGGGAAGGCCGAGGTAGCCGTGTCAAGGTCAGAAGCATGGAAACCAGGCTGGCACAGGCTATGGAATGAAAAAAAAAGGGTGGGCAGGCAAGCAAGTATGTTTTTTAAAAGACATTTATAGAAAAATAGAGTTAAGGGGTTTTTAAGTCTGGAAACGCTGGTGAGGCTGGCCTAGAAGCTCTGGTGCTAGGGCTGGGGGTCAAGTGAGCATGTGGGGAGGCAGGGGGCCAGGGGGCACACCAGCTCTCTGCGGCCTTTGGCACATCCATTGGTAACAGCAGGCGCTGGCTGGCTTCTCCCATGTGTGGTCCTGGTCCTGTCCTGAGCCGGAGAGGTGGGCAGTCCTGGGTGTGGCCCTCGGGAGAACATAGCTGTGACCACCCATGGTCCTTGTTGGGTGGGCCTCAGTAAGCCCAGGTATAAGGCAGCAGAAGAGGTTTTAGAAACTGATGTCAAGGCTCTAGTCTAGCATCCTCAAGCCACCGGCAGCAGGGGCCCCCCAAGGTTTGGATGCCGAACCCTGCCCCCAGAGTCTCCCGATCAGAAGATCCGAAGTCTGAGACTCTGTTTCTAACCAGGTCCCAGGTGATACACTGAGTAAACAGTCTCAGACAAAATGACCGAAGTGGGGTGGGGAAGGGAGGAAGGCCAGAGTCAGGACACAGCCTTCCTCCCTGTCCCAGACCCGTGCTGCAGGCTGGTCTAAGGGCCACAGCCCACGCCTGGTGGTCCAGGTCGAGGGTTCTAGGTAGGCTCAGGCCTGGAAACAGGGCCAGGCCACTGTACCAAGTGAAGGTTGGGAAGGCCCAGGGGCCAGGAAAGGGGAACAAGCAAGAGCTCTAGTGAGCTGTAGTCAGGAGGACAGAAAACTCTGTGGTGTGGATACAGGTCCCCAGCCCTGAGTCCCTACAGGGATCCAGAGTGACAGACCTGCTGCTACCATGAGCTGAAGTCCCCAAAACCTCGGCTGGGTTTTTTCTTGGCTACAGGGACAACTGCACTGGTTGAGGGCTCTTCCTCTGCTACACGTTTCCTAGAAAGAGAAGAACCACTCTAGCTGCTGTGTACCAATTCCTGGAGCTGGGGGCCCACACCCTCCCACGGCTCCCCTCAGCGTGATGTCACACGGCCACGTACCCCCAGCCCCAAGTCCTCAATCCCCAGCCTGCGCAGTGGCCCCCATGGCCCCTGCTTGTCCTCACCACTGGTGGGTTCTGACTCGTGGGCACTGGTAAGCTTGGAGAGCACCATGCAAAACGGGACAACAGCCCTCGCTCCACTCACGTGGCTGCCGGGTTGATGTACTTGCCCACCCCCTGGCGGTACGTCTGGGGGCCCTGGCTCCCCGGCTTGGGCTGGCTTGTTTTCACTGTGCTTTCTGGGGCCACCTCCTCGAGCTGCGTCTTCTTCCGCTCCTCAGCAATCTGTGAGGGAACAGGACAACAGCTGGCCCGGAGCTCCTCAGGCTGGGCAAGTTCCCCAGAAGCCCTGCCCACCTGGTGGCTGAGGCCCCCTCACCTGAGCGTCAGCCTCCTCGTAGGGGTCCACAAACACCGTGGTGGAGTCAATGCGGATCTCCTCCTAGCAGCGGAGGGAGGCAAATGAGGGGCCGGCAGAAGGCAGCAGGCCCCTCCTAAGCCACCTGCCTGATGCCAGGCCTGAGCAGCGGTCCCTCTACTCTCCCTGAGTACATACCTTAGGGCGGTCAGTTTTGGGATCACTCTCCACGTTCTCCATGGCTGTCAGTGTGTCAAAGCCCCCAACAACCCTGCAGCAGGGGGAAAGGGGTACTCTGTGCTGCAGGCAGTGAACCCCCAAAAGCCAAGTCCCTGTGGCATGCCAGGAAGAAGGGCAGAGGATGGGCCTGAGAAGGTCCCATAGGGGTGAGGGCCATGGCCCGGGGAGGAGGGGCTGAGGAGAGAGGTAAGAGCAGGGCCAGTGGGCCACCTGGCTTGTTCAAAGTTTTATTGGGACGTAGCCACACCCATTGCTTCTATGCTAGTGCCTTTGGCGCTACAGACAGCTGAGCTGAGGGTTGTGACAGACCATGAAGCCAGGAAACTGGAAATACCATCCGGGCCTTCACAAAACAAGAGGACAGAGAACAAACATGGACCAGACTTGAGAATTGGAACCATCCAGAGGAGAGCCTGAGGGGGGTGAGTTCAGGGAGGGCAGCCGGCCAGAGGGGGCTAGAGCTCCTCTCAGCCAGCAGGTCTGCATGGCCATGACCGTGGCAGTGATGGTGATGAGGGCAAATGAGCATGGAGCCAGGCGAGGGGGAAAGGCAGTGAGAGGGTCCCACTGGGGAAGAAGCCCACCCGCACCCCAGACCTCAGCAGCAGCTTCTCTTACCGCCCGAAGATAGTGTGCTTCTTGTCAAGGTATGCGCAGGAGCGGAAGGTGATAAAGCTGGGCAAGGAAGAGAGGGCATCAGGACGAGCGTGCAAGCTCCCCCCCCCCAGCTTGACTTGGGTCATGGCTTCTGGGCACAAACCAGGCGTCCTCGTCCCTCAAGAGCTATTCTGGGAAGCTGGAGCTCACTCGCGTGTGTGGCCTTCATGCCCTGCCCGTCCAGGGGACCAGGACCCCTGGCTCCCCAGGAAGAGGCCCAGGGCACAGCTGCCTGGGAAAGAGCAGGAGAGGCTGTGCCTCCAGACCCGGCTAATGCCACCTCCTGTCGGGCAGACAATGCCAAAGCCTGCAGGGAGAGGCTGCTAGGGGAGTGAGTGGCTGGGGAAACTGGACACCAGAGCCCACACCAGTGTGACAGCAGCTCAAGGAGCAGGGACTCTGAACTGGAAGAAAGGACACGAGCAGGAAAGGGAGCAAAGACACTGAGGAACATGGGTAAATACCCATAAACACTGACCAAGTAAATTTTTACATCTAGTTTGGTATAAAAATGAGTGAAATTTAAATGCCTAACTATACTAATGTGAGATGGTAGAGCTGGGGGGCCAGGACTGGAAGGATCTGTCTGGGAGGGAGAGAGATAACTAACTAGTAACTACAGACTTTAAATAAATCTACTTAAGTGACACATCTAACTTCCAAATCAGGAGAAAGAAATGAAAAATATTTTTTATTTTATTTTTTTTAACATTTATTTTTGAGACAGAGAGAGACAGAGCATGAACGGGCGAGGGTCAGAGAGAGGGAGACACAGAATCTGAAACAGGTTCCAGGCTCTGAGCTGTCAGCACAGAGCCCGACGCGGGGCTCGAACTCACGGACCGCGAAATCATGACCTGAGCCAAAGTCGGCCGCTTAACCGGCTGGCCGCCACCCAGGTGCTCCGAAAAATATTTTTTAAAAGGGTGACTAGAAAGCACAAATGAAGGTAACAGAAAGCAATCCAGATACCGTCTGGAAAGTTAGGTATGCACTTATGACTGTCAGGCTGAGGTAAAATAGTCCCCACTCCAGCATGTGCTGTTAGAAAGACAGCCCCAAGACTTCAAGGATCTAGAAAGCTCCAAGTTAAAGGATGGAAGGAGATGTTTAACAAGAGATGGAGGCAAAAGCATTCTGGGGCGGATCCCGGTGCATAAGGGCATGAGGCCACACCCCTGGAAGTGGTGCAGGCCGGGCAGCCTGCTGGGACACGGTGCGATGCCACCCACATCCCCGACAACCCACAGCATGCACACACGCACACACACCTGGCAGGGACGGAAGGCTGAAGAAGCACATTCCTCCAGGGACAGCACTCCCTTGGGGCCCACCAGGTCTGACCCGATGACAAGGCCAGCGGGCAGGTGTCCACAGACGTCAAAACCCACAACTGTGCAGACCTTAACTGTGGCCACCGAGTGGGTCACTCACTACCACTCATTTCTAACACACATGGGGAACCTTAAAAGGGAATGAAATAGTCCCAAAGAAAAAAAAGGAAACAGAAAAACAATGAAAGGGCAAAGACATAATAGAAAGGAAGTCTCAAATTAGTTCTTTGACCTAAGAAGAAAGTGCCGTCAACATATACAGACTCAAATGTCTTCAGGGTGGAGAGCAAGACGCGAGGCTAAGAAAGGAGAGAAAGAGAAGAGAAACAGGAAGAAGCCATTAAAGATGGAAACTGAGGGAACTTACATGAAGTAAAAACAGAGAAGCCTTTCGTGAGCCATTAAGGAGAGTGGGAAAGGAGATACGGTGAGCAACAGGAAAAGAGATGCCATGGAAGCAAGTTTGGAAATCTAGACATGGACCAGTTACATTCTGGCAAAACAGAAACGTGGGCCAGTTGGCCCACGGAGTGGAATCTGACTAAGGAATTAGAGTGAATGATCTGCAAAAGCTGTCCTTGACAAGCTAACTGAACAAGCAGCTGACTCCAATCTAAGTTTAACCACCCCAGGCTATAAAGTGAGGGCAGGCTCACTGTGCAGGCTGCACCCTCTCAGACTCTGGTCCCACCAAACCAGTTCTGACAAGCCACACCTGGCTACAGAAGATAGATAGTGGCACATGGTCTAAAACAGTGGTCGTCGGACCATCATTGCACAGCAAGGACCAGACCGGGTTTACTCCAGAACAAAGGATTGACAGACAGCAAGGCTGGTCAGCCCAGAGGATACATCCACAAATTCCAGGAGGAAAGGAAAACCATAGGACCATAGTAACAGATGCTAAGAGAAAAACATCTGGAAATGCCACAGTCTCTCCAAAAAAGTAGGCCCCAAAACAAATTTGATCAGATGGCAAAACAGCATATTACGCCCACTCCTCTCCTTACAGGCCTATGAAGTGACTGGTGTTCACACTAGAAGAGAAGACAGAACACCACCTTGTGCTGATAAACGTGAGTATCTAGAAAACCCAAGACACTCTTAACAAAAACTATCTGAGTTATAAGAGAATTTGATAAAGTAGCTAGATATAAAATAGACTTTCTCGGGGCGCCTGGGTGGCTCAGTCGGTTGAGCATCCGACTTCAGCTCAGGTCATGATCTCATGGTTTGTGAGTTCGAGCCCCGCATCGGGCTCTGTGCTAACAGCTCGGAGCCTGGAGCCTGGAGCCTGGGATTCTGTGTCTCCTTCTCTCTCTGCCCATCCCCTGCTTGTGCTCTGTCTCTCTCTCTCAAAAATAAATAAATAAATGTAAATAAATAAATAAATAAATAAATAAAATAGGCTTTCTCCACATGCGCAACAGAATTGGAAAAGAATTCTTATTACAAAAATATCACAAGTCATAAAATCCTTAATGAACAGGCTTATCCAGGAAGGCAGGGAGCCCAGGTGAAGAAAACTATAAAGCCACATTAAAAGATATAAAACACAGCCTCACAGAATGTCAAGACACATTCATAAATGGAAGAGGTCATACATCTATCCTTCCAAACTATCAACATCACATCACTCCAATTAGAACCCCCATAGTCTGCTGTAGATAAAATGATCTTAAAATCTGGGGTGTGTGGCAGGCTCAATCGGTGGAGCATGCACTCTTGATCTTGGGGTTTTAAGTTCAAGCCCCACACTGGGTGTACAGCTTGAGAAAAAAATAAAATCAGGGCACCTGGTGGCTCCATTGGTTAAGCGTCCAACTTTGGCTCCGGTCATGATCTCGTGGTTTGTGAGTTCGAGCCCCACATTGGGCTGTCTGCTGTCAGCACAGAGCCCACTTTGGGTACTCTGTCTCTCTCCCTCTCTGCCCCTCCTCCCCTGCTTATGCACGCTCTCTCTCAAAAAGTCTTTTTTTTTAATGATTATTTTTGCGAAAAAGATCACGCGCATGCACACGCACACAAGTTGGGAAGAGGCAGAGAGAGGGAGACAGAGAATCCCAAGCAGGCTCCACACTGTCAGTACAGAGCCCAACTCGGGGCTCTTGGTCCCATGACCCTGAGGCTCAAGACCTGAACAGAAATCAAGAGTCAGATGCTCAGGGGCGCCTGGGTGGAGCAGTCGGTTGAGCGTCCGACTTCAGCCAGGTCACGATCTTGCGGTCCGTGAGTTCGAGCCCCGCGTCGGGCTCTGGGCTGATGGCTCAGAGCCTGGAGCCTGTTTCCGATTCTGTGTCTCCCTCTCTCTCTGCCCCTCCCCCGTTCATGCTCTCTCTCTGTCCCAAAAAATAAATAAATGTTGAAAAAAAAGTCAGATGCTCAACCAACTGAGCCACCCGCGTGCCCCTGTATTTTTAAGAGCTTTTTAGTCATTGATATTCTAGATGTTTTTCCCAGGTATTTTCCATTTGACAAGATCCCAGATATTTTGTTTCAATGTTACTTTTTGAGAGAACAGGGGAGGGGCAGAGAGAAAGCGGGGCAGAGACAAAGTGGGGCAGAGCATCTGAAGCAGGCTCTGTTCTGAGAGCAGAGAGCCTGAGGCCGGGCTCGAACTGTAAGTTCGAGATCATGACCTGAGCCGAAGTTAGACACTCAACGGACTGAGCCACCCAGGCACCCCTGCCGTTGACTCACCTCTAATATGAGGGTGCCCATCAGAGCCCCTGTCAAGTGTGCCTGGTTGGCCCCAGACACCACGGGCACAGTGGAGAAGGGGGTGCTGGGACTGCCTGGGCCCCAGGGTGTCCTCTCTCAAGGGAGGCCCCTTTTGTATCCTGATGGTCCCTAGCTTAGGTGACTCGTTCCAGGTGATTTTCCATAAATCCTTTACATCCTAAGCCAGGGCCCTCCTGCTGAGTGCTTCCTACAGAGAAGGTGCTCCTCCAGCAGGTGTTCTGGGAGAGGCCCGGCTCCTTTCCCCACCTCCTCCCAGGCATGTGTTACATCCTTGTGTAAATCAGGGCCTAATTCCAGATTATATATACATATGCACACACAAACTTCCTCATAAAAAGTGAGCAAAGAGGAAAGAGTTGACAAAGAACAAGCAGAAACTAAAGACTTTTAAAAATCAGAAATAATGAAACTCAGTGAACTCCTCCAGCTCCCAAGAGAGGGAATGATTGAGGCCAAGCGAAACCCTGCCTGGCTGGGCACCCCCATTCTACCCAGCTGCACGGCTCTGCAGGGGAATCCCATCAAACGTCCAGGAAAGCCACCATTCCTGCCCCGCTCGATGCCACCATCATCGGCCCCCACATTGCACAGACCGATCTCCCCTGCCCTACCAGCCCCATTGTGCAAGGCTCCTCTGGAAAACTGTCTTGCCGCTGCCCCACAGACATCCCCCACCCCCGTCCCTCCCAGGTTGAGTCTGGCTGTTCCCCTTCCCACACTCACTTCCGGTGGGCCCTCACCCCTCGCCTTTTCATCTAGACCAGGGTGGCCAGGTCTTTACTTCCGGCTCATTCTCACCCCCTTGGCTGACCCACTAGGACCAGGCTGAGTGTCCCAAGCATCTCACACCTCAATGCTGCAAGCAGAATTCTCACACCCTCACTGGGTCTCCCCATTTCCAGAAATGCACTACAAGTTCTAGCCGCCCCTGCCCCCCATCATGCACTCTCCCCACAGCCCGGGCCAGCCACACCCACACCCGCATCTGCCTCCTACAGCCGCTCTGGGTCTCTGTGTAACCACCCATGTCTATTCTTTCATGGGCACATACAAAGCACACACACTTGGGGGGTGGGGGAGTGGTGAGTCTCCCCCCGGAGTGCTGCCCACTTTCTGGGTGGGATTCAGGTAGTGTATGCTCTCTAGGGCAAAGCTGAGAGGGAGGACCCACCCACAGCTGCCGGCTGACTCACAATTGAGACTTGTTGGTGTTGGGCCCCGAGTTGGCCATGCTGAGGATACCCCGGCCCGTGTGCGAGAGGTTGGGCCGGAATTCATCTTTGAAAGGCTTTCCCCAGTACGACTCCCCACCTGGAAGAGAAAGCAGCATGACTGGCAGTAAGAATGACTGGGTCCCAGGCCAAGTGCAGCCCGAAGGACGAAGCCCAGCTCTGGAAATGTGTGTTGAGTCCCAAGGGGCACTGCTGCCAAGTACCTCAGAAGGCAGCCCTGGCCCCGAGGGACCCTCATCACTATCTCCCCATGGACTCCTCCCAGCCCCCAGGTCCTTCAGAGCCCCTACATGGGGCCAGGCCCCTAGTACAAGGAGTAGAAGGTGAAAACCACAGGTTATTACTGCTCACACCACGTGGGGTGAGGGAGTGGCCCGGGCCCAAGGAGCCAACAGGCTGAAGGGTTCAAGAGGCAGCAAGAAGGCAACATGTTGCTTTTCATCCTCTAACCAGGCCTTACAACCATCTCAAAATGAGAAAAATGAGGGATGTGCCTGAGGTCACACAGCAGGCTGGTGGCTGGTCTGTCAGATTCCACATCTGGAGCTCTCAGCACAGCCTGCACCCACCTACCCCCTCGCGGCCTATGAAGCAGCCAAAGCTGCCAGGGTGGCCCCCATACTAGTACCTACCTGTGCCTGTGCCAGTGGGGTCTCCCCCCTGGATCTGTGAGAAGACAAGAAGCCAGTCAGCAAGCTGTACCCCTTGAGCCCGAGGCCCTGCCTGACCCTCCTGCCACCGCCCACCACCACTGGCTGAATGAACTCCCCACCTGCCAGGGGGGCTCAAGGGAGTTCTGGGTGAGGACAAGGCCCTCCCAGGCCACTTCTCTGCACAAGCCTAGTGTGGCCAGGCTGGGGACTCTTAGGGGTCAGCCTGCAGGCTCCCTGCCCTGAAAAAAAGGGGCTCATAGGAATGACTCCCAGGAGTCACCTGCAGGACTCACGCTGGCCAGGAGTCACAGGGCCCCTACAGAGAAGCAAGTCTTTGGCCAGTGCTGACTCTTGTCACTCACCACAAAGTTCCTGATGGATCTGTGGAAGATGGTGCCATCGTAATACTGCTTCTTGCAGAGTTTGATGAAGTTTTCACAGGTTTTTGGTGTCTACAAAATAGCCCAGATACTTCTGTGAGGCAAGGAGCAACTGATGCAAGGATCACAACTGCCACCCAGGGCCCTTACCGTGCAGGGGCAATGGTCTGCTGCCCAGCCCAGACATGGTAAAGAAGGACCTGTGAAGCTAAATGACAAGACACTTGTATCTGCCGTGACCCTAAGCCAGGGCCGTGGAGAGACACTTGAACAAGTGGGGGGCAGGGGTGTGTGTGTGGAGCCTGACCTCTTTCGTGTGAAGGTTGTGCACGCAACTGCTCAGAGCACGGACCAAGGAAATGCAGTGCACCGCTAACAGGGTCCCTAACAGAAAGGGAGGTGGGGGTACCATACTTTCTGGAGACCAAGTGGAATTTTGTACCACGAGCATGTGCCAAGTGCAGCTATGTATTTAAGACCCTGGCAAGGGGACTTAGGTGGAGGGGATGGCAGCCACCTACCATGTCGCAGTGCAACTCCAGGTTGAGGTCGCCCTTGTTGGTGTGCAGCCGCACATAGCCCTTCTTCTTCACAAACTGGTAGCGCAGCACATCCTCATCGATGGCAGCTGCAAACCCAGGCCAGAGCTCTGTGCTGCCCTCCATCTCGGGCAAGCCCACCCCACACCAGGTTCTAGGGCCGGGGACGCAGCCCCAGCTTTGGGGAGAGCCCAAGAGTCTTCCTGGTCTGAGCATAGGCTCACAGGGGCCACAGTGGCAGGACAGGGTGAGTGTACAGGTAGAGGGATGAGGAAGGGCTCAGAGGTTAAGGAGGTACTAGAAAAGCCTGGACACAGCAGGCTAGGAGGGGCAAAGGGGATGGTGGGGACTTGGCAGGCTGAGAACACAAGAGGAAGGGGCATGGGGACAGTGCCAAGGTGGGACGTGGGCTGGAGCCCAAGGCAGGGCAGCCCCGGCAGGTAGAGGGAGGACCTTCTACTCCCGGCCTGGCCCCCCTGCAGCCTCTGCCATCCCGGACAAACATACTTTCCAAAAGGGCCTATGGCTGCCTGACCATGCCTGAGTTGCCTAAGCACCCATGAAGGCCAGGCATGATAAAGTGATGCTCAAGGGGGCGCCCTGCCCTTGGACGCTGTTAAGCAGCATTGCTGGAGATGAAGGTGCAAAGGCAGCTACCTGCTTCGTGCGTAGTCTCTGGAACCATGGCAGTGGAGGTGAAGGAGGCGCTGACCTTGCCGGTGGAATAGTGCGCCTGGAGAGGAAACCACATGGGTGCATTAGTGGTGCCCTGAGAGGCTGGGGCCCCACTGCTCAGGCCCTGCTTGGTACCCTTCCTCCAAGAAACTGTCCATGGCCGCCGCCCACAGAGCCCAGCAGGGACCTCCTGGGGGCCGGGCCCTCTAAGAGCTCACGGACTGAGGGGACCCAGCCAGGGTGCTCGCAACACAGGGCCCCGCCTGTGCAGGAGGCTGAGGCTGAGCTGGCCAAGGCTCTCATGTAAACTGAAACCCTGGAAGTAAGTAGAAACTGGTCACCTCTGGTATTCACAGTACCAGGAACTCTAGTTCTTTTGCAAACGTTTCAACTTTTTACAGTAAACACACTGCCTTTTTAATCAGGAAAAAATAAACCCCAATAGGTTTTATTTTTATCTAAGACAGTGGGAAAAAAAAGATTTCTCCCCGTTAGAAGGAAATACATCAAAATACTAAGCACTGTTGTTTTAGAGGAATGGGATTATTAACCACAACCTTTCTTTTCTTACTTTTGCAAATTTTTCTGGGTAAGTCTTTAAGGATGGAGCCTCAGAGCCCCCTCTGTCCCCCTCATCCCCCATAGCCCTGCCTGAACAGGCCATGTGTGGCCTCCAGCACCCCACCTGCCATCCCCAGCCTCCTGAGGCCCATTTTCTTTTTAAAAAAATTTTTTTTCAACGTTTTTATTTATTTTGGGGACAGAGAGAGACAGAGCATGAATGGGGGAGGGGCAGAGAGAGAGGGAGACACAGAATTGGAAACAGGCTCCAGGCTCTGAGCCATCAGCCCAGAGCCCGACGCGGGGCTCGAACTCACGGAGCGCGAGATCGTGACCTGGCTGAAGTCGGACGCTTAACCGACTGCGCCACCCAGGCGCCCCTTGAGGCCCATTTTCAATGCAGCCCTCCTATGGGCCTCCAAGGGGCACGTGGGCTCTGAGGGGTCCTGGCCACCCCCCTCCAAGTGTATCCCAAGGCCTCCATGAGTCCCTTCACCAAGACCTCTGAGGGGCTGAGCTGGGCAGGCTGGCTGAGCTGGCAGCTGTGTGGCCCTCTGCCTACTCACAGCATTCAGCTTGTCCACTTTCTTCTTCTCTGGGACTTTCATGGTGGCAGCCAGAACCTCGTCCCCTTTGAACTCTTTGTAGAGCTCCTGCAGCGTCTCTCGGGTCTCGGCGTTTGTATTTTTCAAATAATAAGATGGGTCCTGTTTGGCCTTTTCTTCATCTATAAAACAGCACAGTGGCCCTGATCAGCCGAGCCCCCAGCAATGTCCCCAAATGTGCACGACAGGGACAGGAGGCCAGAGCCTGCTGTAATAGTGGAAGCCCAGGCTAGGACTTAGGCTGGGTAACCTGAACCTCCATCACAGTGACGCTTTCCTGGTAGCTATGATGAAGAAAAGGGTGTGCAGAGGGAGAGAGAGCGAGGAAACGGCTCACAAGGGTACAAGTCAACCCGCCCACAGTGTTCTCCACAGTCGGCTCTGGTCTGTCCCCAGCCGTGACCTGGCCCCAGTGGCTCATACACAGCCCTGCACCAAATGACACTGGGAGCAGCAACCAACTAGCTGAGCAGAGGCCACAGTCACCACCCCTCACTGACTACCTATTCCCACAATGAGAACAGAGCCAATTTCTAAGAAGCGAGTGGAGGACCTGGGAGAGGAAGCGGCCTAGAAGGGCCTTGGAGCTGGGTGTTGAGTGGGGAAGAGGCGGCAGCCAGGCCTCCATGGCATGAGGCGGTGGGCACCAAGGATACTGGCCCCAGCTGGGACACCCACAACAGGCCCCCTGTGGGCAGGCATGGGCCAACAAGGTCCTGCCAACTTCAGCACAGAAGCTAAGTGTAGCCAGTCTAGGCTTGAGCAAGACTCCTGGATGCTCCAGCCCCAGGAAGGCAAGGGCTTTACCCAGAAAGCACTGGCACCCAAACCCCTGGCACCCAGACCAGCTGCCGTTGCACCTACCAGGATCTGTTATTTTTATGTTATTCTTCACATGAAAGAAGTTGGAGACATTGAATTTGTCCAAATTGGTGGGGTCCTGCAGCAAAAAGAACACACACAGCACAGTGAGCCAGGCAGTGAGGCAGGCAGGTGGCCTGAGTGCTGGGGTTGGGAAGGAGAGGCCAGTGGCAGCAGAGATCTGGGGTGTCGAGCAGGGAATAGAGGGTGGGCATCAGGGGTCAGGGGAGGGCTCTGCCTGAGCACGGCCAGGAGCAGGGGTGGGTGGGGATAGTGATATAAATAGCTAGCTGCTCTCCAAACTGTGTCCCCTTCTCCCTAGCACACGGAAGATGAGCATGTCTCGCATCAGGCAGCCATGGGACGGATGGAGTTTCGTGGAGGGGATGCAGGCAGAATGGGGCACCCATCTTAGCCTCCCACATGCCACACCCCACGCTCCCTTCGGCCGGCTGCCACAGACCCCTTGGTGCCTCAGGTCCTGGTGACAGCAAGCCCACACTGTGGGAGGGAATGTGCACGGACCTCCGATGAGGACAGGACAAGCCCTGGATGGGAGGGGTCCACAAAGGCCACCCCTGGTTTCTAAGTCCAGGTCTTTCAGGAACCCATTCTCTGACACTCAGAGGCACACCCTAGCCCTACGCTCACCACTGGGGTAGAGCACACACCAGCCCATCCTCTCCCACTTGGATACGGAGATGGCTCTGGGGCAGAGAGGAGCGGCCTTGACGTAGCAAGGGCAGGCACTGGAAGAAGAGATGTGAAGCGGCCTCGTGAAGGCCCAGGCTGACAGAGAGCAGGGGTGCTGCCAGGAGCTGAGGGCAGCTGGGAAACAGCAGGCAGGTCACAGAGCCTGGGTGGAGAGGTGGGGTTGGCAGAGGGGTGCCATGGTCCCTCCTGGGAACAGCAGTGGGAAGGGGACACCCACCTGGAGGGTGATGATGTCCTGCCGAGAGAAGGGCTCGTCTGTCAGCAGGTCTCGGAAGTTCTTGGCCTTGATATTTAGTTGCTCCACTGCCTACAGCCAAGAGAGAGCCCACTGTTACAGTGCTGGCCCCAATGCTGGCACCAGGAGCCTGGAGCCTACCCAGATGACAGCGCCATCTCAGAGGTGAGGAAAAAGACGGGACCCACCAAGGGCTCACAGCAGTGGCCCCACCACTGAGGGCGGAGCTTGATGAGCCTGAAAGATTCAAATTCAGCCATTTGAGCAAAGCTCACCAAAGGACACTCTCATGATACACATCTTATGTCAATAAGCAGGCTCAACAAGGCCAGCCATGCATCTCTATCAAAGCCCTTCCACCAAATCTGTGCACTCTTTGGGCAAAAGTGACCCCTGGAGCCCCTAGGGTGGCACTGGCCACCAGGACCCTGCCAACAGCTGGTGACAGGTCTGATAACATCTCAGGGAGGGTTTCCCTGCAACATGGGGCCCACACCCTGCTCTGTACCCTGTGCTGGCATACCCAGAGCAGGAGGACAGGTATGGAAATCAGGGCCTCCTCACCCTCACACTTGCCCACCAGCCTGCATCTGCTCCTCCTGGGGACTCCACCAGGACGCGGTGGAGGGGGGCTCCGTGCTCCCCTCAGCCCCAGGCCTGCCCTCAGAGCACAGGTTCCCTTCCAGGGCCCGGTCAGTGAAGATGAAGATGGTGGGAAGGACCCCTGGGGTACAAAAGAACTGGCCAGGTTTCAGGTCTGGAGGCTGCAGGAAGGGCACACCTCTTCCTGTCTGCGCTGACAGCTCTCAGAATGTAGGCTCCACGGGGACAGGCTGTGCCCACTGCACCCAGTGCAACCTTAACGCCAGCCCAGGGTTTCCCTGGAGCATATACCCAAAGAGCCTGCATGGGACACAGTTCCCAAGAACCCACCTCATAGGTATAGACATTGCCCGTGGTCTTGACAGCTACGATGTGGGTGTTGTTGGTGAACACGGTGAATAGCACTGGGCAGTGGTACTTTCCTAGAAAGAAGGCTCATCATCAGGGAAATACAAATCAAAACCACAATGAGATACACCTCACACCTGTCAGAATGGCTAACATTAACAACTCAGGCAACAACAGATATTGGTGAGGATGCGGAGAAAGAAGAACCCTTTTGA